ACAACCCTTTCACAGGGGTTGCCTAAGACCATCAGAAAACAAAAAGATATTTACATTACGATTCATAACAGTAGCAAAATTACAGTTATAAAGTAGCAACGAAAATAATTTTATGGTTGGGGTCACCACAACATGAGGAACTGTATTACGGGGTCGTGGCATTAGGAAGGTTGAGAACCACTGGGCTAGAGGGCGAGGAAGAACAAAGGAAGTTTATAATTTTTTTGCCAACTTTTTTTATTCCTTTCAAACTAATAGCAGAACCATCATAGTGACAGTTTGACGAGCTCGATTTATAGTTATAATAGACTTGCATTTAAAGAGTTTATTAAAATCATCAAATAATACCACATCTGATAATTCTCCTGGTGGAAATGGCTAATGATATATAATAGCAAACATTCAGTCACTTTATTGTTTGTTTACAGTAATATTAAGCCTGTCATTCAAATAACTTTAATTAAGGTTTTTCTTTAGTATTTAGATTATTGCCCTTTATTAACCAAATGCTTGCAGATGCAAAGTAGAAAGTGTATATCATTAATTTTAACTCTAATTTTTATAATGAGACATATGCAAAACTCAATTTTACATGTCACATAAGTAACTGAAAATGCAGTAAAAGAAAAATTGACACCTGCATGATATCCTAGTTTACAAAGCACCTTTACATATATTATTTCACAACCTATATCTCTGTAAGATAATCAGGACAAATACTTAAGTTTCTTCGTTTTACAGAGAAAAGAGCCAACACTCAGAAACTTTAATATTCAAGTTCATGTTTCTACCACTTACTGGGTGACCTTGAACAAGTGTCTTAATCACCCTGTGCAATTTCTGTAACTGTAAAACAATTTAAGATAGTGTTTACCTCACAGGATATGTGTGAAGATGAAACGAGCTAATACACATAGGGCACTTAGAACAGTGCCTGGTGCATCGTAGATGCTTAATAAATGTTAGCTACTAGTTGTCGTTATCACACAGCTAGTAAATGTTAGGACTTTGGTCCGATTCCAGACCTTCTGACCCCGAGTCCAGAACTCTTTTCATAGCACCATCTGGAATTTGCTTTTTAGTAAATCATTGATTTAATTTCTATCTCACATTGACCTTGTTATTCTTTTTTCTTTTTTCTTTTTTTTTAAGATTTTTATTGGGATGGGAACAGCACTGGGGAATTGGAGGAAAGGGAACAGACAAGTTGCTGTCCTTTTGTTCTTCAGTCTAGTTTGTGGAGGACGTTGCTTCATTGGCCCAAGTTGGCACCATCATTGCACTCTTCCCTGGCGAGGCAGATCAGTTGCTGGCTTCTGGATGGCCGCTCACAGCGGCTCCTGGCCACTCACGCTGGCTGCTGGCTACACACAGTAGCCCATGGCAACCCACTGCAGCAGGGGCTACAGCCTACGCTGTCGCCGGCGACTCACAGCAGCCCAGCTCCAGGTTGAGATGTTGTTCAGCATCTTAGCTGTAGAGGGCAGTGCCACTGGCCCTCATATGTGGGATCCGAACCAGGGCCCTCTGGCGTCCCAAGCCAGCTCTTAACCAACGTGCCACTCGGCCGGCCCTGACCTTTGTATTCTTGAAGGGTTCTTTTTGTACTTTGTTTACTTTGACCTTAAGTTTCTAAAGATCAAAAGGGAAATGTGTTTGAAGGATTCTTCCTGATTTTTTTTTACTTCTCTGATGTCTATTGTCATCTTGGCTTCCTTGACCTTGAGGTATCAGAAGGTGTTTTAGTAGGTGAAGGTATAATTTTCAGGAGTGATTTTGGATGTTTCTAGTGGACTTTGTTTGGATCAGAAGGCCTGAAGTAGGAAGTAGGATTGAAGGAGGTTGCTAGACTTGAGTCGCACACCTTATGTGCAGTGCTAAGAGAATATTGTCATTCTTGAGAGTGGCAGCTTGCTGACCAGGGAGTGGAGATGATTTGCTATAAAAGAGCCATCCTGAAGATATTGGTCAAGTATTATGTGCCATTCCCTGGGAAAGGAAAATTAAGTTGTTTGTAGATATTTTTCTTAGTAATAACATTGTAGCAGGCTTTTCCATGTGACTCCCAGTTGTTTTTACTCTGTCTATTGCCAATGTTGACATTTATGACTGTGAGATAAGCCTGAGTGAAAATCAGTGTGCTTTTGAGGTCGCTAGTCAGCTGCTGTGGGGCGGTCCCCTCCCTCTCCTCTGAAGCCCACGTTGACCCCAGTGAGGGATTTGATGTGGAAGATTGCCAAGGATGGGCAGTGATGTGCAGGACAGGTGCAGTCAGCCTGGTGGCCTCCCAGAGGCAAGGAGCTAGAGCAGCGGTTCTCAACCTTCCTAATGCCGCAACCCCTTAATACAATTCCTCATGTTGTGGTGACCCCCAACCATAAAATTATTTTCGTTGCTACTCTATAACTGTAATTTTGCTACTGTTATGAATCGTAATGTAAATCTTTTTGTTTTCCAATGGTCTTAGGCGACCCCTGTGAAAGGGTCGTTCGACCCCCAAAGGGGTTGCGACCCACAGGTTGAGAACCACTGAGCTAGAGGCAGCCCCAGCTTGCTAAGCATGCCCCATCCCCAGGCCTCTTGGGTGTGCCTGTACACCGTGTACACAGATGGGGTCCTCTCCGAGAACAAGATGTCCTGCGTGCCCCTCAGTACCCTGGTGGAAGGTCTGTGCCAGGATTTCACCTGGTGGGGCAGGTTGGAGAGTACATGTTAAGACCTTCTGTTTGTGATAGTTGATCTTTTAACCCATTCATCTCTAATTTTCTCTTTGGCAAGTGGAATTAATGTTCTCACATTGAGTGAAAACACTGAATTTTTAATGGATTCCCTGTGGCTTGTTGATAGTTTGATACTGTTGCCAAAAGAGAGAGACTATGAAGAAATGATATATTAATCTTTTATAGTTTTGCAGTTAGGTTTTATTTTTCTTGTTTGGCTACCTGCTGAATCCTCTGGCCCATTTAGCCTGGGAGCAAAGCCCAGAAAACAGCTGTGGGTCCTACCACATTGGCGGCCTCCCTGTTGCAGCCACATCCTCTCTCCTGTGGGCCTGGTGCTTTCCCTTGTGTGCTGGCGTCTGCCTATTGCATTGGGCACTCTCGGTGTGCTGGGTAGTGGTTGATCTTTTTTTTCCTGCTGAGTTTGCTTGGATGCTCTGTACAGTAGATGAATGGTTTGGAAAAAGGATTTCAAGAAGAGTCCCCATTATTTGTTATCCACTGCCACTTACTACGTGCTGCCCAGGACTTCAGAGAGCGTTGCTTCTAGGCCAGTTGGTTAACATCTTTGGTGTATGAGAACCTTCTGAATATATGGGGCTCCTTATTCTTTTCCACCAGTTACGTCTTTCTGGCATGCTTTGCACCAGAGGAGAACTGGATTGGTGATGGTTTCCTTTGAGGTCAGTAGCAGGACTGGGAGTGGAGGTGACAGCTGAGAGACTTAGCAAAGCTTCAGGGGTTGTGGAGGGGTTGAAGAGTTGAATACTCAGGCTTAGACTAGCTCATGATGGTCCTTTGCTCAGCGGCCACTGATGAATGCCAGTGTGGCAACAAGTGCCAGAGGTGGCCCTTGAATGTCTGTTGTCCTCTGTGAGGTCTTTGCTGATTCTTGCAAGTCAGAGTCTTGCTCCTCCGGGCTTCCATCGCTGTTTTTGTCCTCACTTATCTCCCTCAGCTTTGTAGTGAGTAGTTAATTGTCTAAATGTCTATTTCTTCTACCACATAAATCTCTTGACAGCAGGAACCTAGTTTCATTCATCTGTTTTCTCCTAATCCATAAATGGTGTCCCACTTGTAACAGTTGCTCAGTACATCTTACTAAATTGGACTGAACAAAGCTGGCTGTGTTCATGGAGATCTGCAGCCAGTGTCAGTGTTTATAGATCATATGCTCTGTCATGAGACAGGAGAGTATACTCGGAGAAACAGCGGCGGCAACACAAGCAACAACTAGCCTACTGTTGGGCTTTTTTTTTGGACAACTTTTGATGAGATACCATTCACATACCATATAGTTCACCCTTTTAAAATGTGTAGTTCAGTGGTTCTTAGGATGTTCATTGAGTTATGCAACCATCACTATAGTCAATTTTAGAAAACTTTCATCATCCCCAAAGGAAACCCTATGCCTATTCCCCCCAATTCCCCAGCCCTAGACAAGTACTAATCTACTTTTTTTTTTTAAGATTTTATTGGGGAATTGGGGGAGGAGACAGCATTGGGGAATCGGGGAAGGGGAACAGACAAGTTGCTGTCCTTTTGTTCTTCAGTCTAGTTGTGGAGGACGTCGCTTCACTGGCCCATGTTGGTATTGTGATCATTGTGCTCTTTCCGGCTGAGGCAGATCAGTCGCTGGCCATTGCTTGGCTGCTCACAGCGGCTCATTGCAGCTCACGCCAACTACCAGCTAGCTGCTCACACTGGCTGCTAACCACTCGCGGTAGCTTACAGCAGCCCACTGCAGACCCACTGCAGCCTACGCCATCGCCAGCAACTCACGGCAGCCCAGCTCCAGGTCGAGCTGTTGTTCACCATCTTAGCTGTAGAGGGCACAGTGTCACTGGCCCATGTGGGATCCGAACCGGCGGCCCTGCTGCTCAGAGCTCGCGCTCCCAAGTCAACTCTTAACCAGCGCGCCACTCAGCCGGCTAATCTACTCTTTTTAAAATCTCTATAGATTTGCCTCTTCTGGACATTCCATATACATGGAATCATATGCAATAGGTGGTATTTTGTGCCAGGCCTTTTTCATTTAGTTTTCAAGGTGTATCCATGCTGTAGCATGTGTCAAGCCTAAAACAAGGTAGTGCCTGTAGAGCACCTAATACAATTCCCGGCACACGAGGGTCTCAGTGACTGTTACTTCTCTGTGTCCCTCAGGTTCGCAGATTTTAGAATTGCCAAAGGAAAACAAGAGCTAAAGTTTTCATGGGTACTTTGAGTTCCATCTACTGATCCCTCCCCCCCCCACCCTGTTTTGTTTTTGTTCTCCCCAAGGCTACGCCTTTCTGCTGTTCCAGGAGGAGAGCTCAGTACAAGCTTTGATAGATGCCTGCCTAGAAGAAGACGGGAAACTGTACTTGTGCGTGTCAAGCCCCACCATCAAGGATAAACCGGTCAGTAACATACAGCTAGCTGTTGTTTTTCTAGAGCACACATGCAACTGGAATAGCTGATCACCTCTTTCTTGTAATGGGAGTGCTGGTAACTGGGACCCTCTTACCCGGGGTGACCTTGTTGTGCAGTAGAGCTGAACTGTTGTTGACAGGAAGCTAATAACAAATTACTCAGTGTTTCGTTTTATACCTTTGGGACCGCATGTAAACAAATGTGCCCTTGTCTTCCACTTTACAGCTCTTTTAAGCTAATTCCTATTCAGAATTGAAGTAAATAATGCTTTTAATGGTTTTGGCAGCTGGTTTCTATTATTATTTCAGATCAAAGACAGGAGTAATTTTTTTTTTTAAGATCATAATTGTCAGTGTTTATGTGCCTTTGACTGCAAGGCATTGTGCTGAGTGGTACCCACAGCTTGCTAAATAGAGCCTCTAGGCCAGGAGCTTACACTCTAAAATGGATAGCTTCAAACAGGGCAGGAGAGGGGAAGGACAGAGAACATGGACCTAAAACCATAAGTAAATGTGCACTTACACAGAGTTTGTGGTTGCTGAACCACAGTGTGAGTGAGTAAGTCATTCGGTAAGAGAGGAAGACTGCTTCCTTTCTCCTGGCAAAGGGGGTATCGATGAAGAAGGGGCAAGACTACGTTCAGAGCAGAAGAAAAGAACTTGGTTAACGTGGAAGGAGCAAGGACCTGTGGGAAGTTGGGTGGGGTGAGTTTGTGTGTCAGGACTTCATGCTAGGAGTAGGAAGTAAAGTAAAAATAGTGATGTGGACCAAGGCACCTCTGTCATGGGGCCCACAGCATCCCTGTAAGACTCACACCAGAGGTGTGGAGCTTGCTTGGCAGCTACATTTATTCTTAGAAATGTGCATGTGGAAAGAGATGGGGTCAGACATAGAAGTTAGAGTCTTGACTCTAGAATTTAAATATCCGCTTGGCTCTGAATAAGTCACCTAATCCTTGCTGAACCTTAATTTCCTCATCTACAAAATGGAAAAAAATAATGGCAACTCTCTGGATGTCGAGAGGCTCAGATAAGAGGAAAATAAATGTGAAAACATTTGGTGAGGTCAGATACTTGTGCAAATGTAACTGATGGTGCTATTAGCCTAACATAGTGCTATAGGATTCAGGAAAGCAAGGTTAGAGCTTATCTACATGGTAACATCTGTTGAAAAAAAATGGTGACATCTAGAACAGGGTTTACAGTTGGTTGCAAAAGAATGATGCTGGGACTTGGCCATCTATAAGGAGGAGACTGCAGTATGTAAAGAAGAAGAGGGAGTTAATAAAGAATGGGGACATTGAGTCATATTAGAATAATTGATACAGAAGAGCAGTAAAGGTTTTATTTTAGTAAGTGTGAAAGTGCCGATCATTCTCAAATTCTGGGGCCATTACCAAATTTTTATAACAACAGTTAACAGTATTGGATAGGGTAGCTATACAGGTAGGGAAAATAATAGGAAACAGTAGTGGGGAAAAAGAGTAGGGGCCTTTGTTAACTTTGGTCATAGTTTAAACAGTGTGGAGAGGCTGTATGTTATGGGCACTGACTTAGAATGGGAATGTGTAGTGTTTCATCTGAGTAAATAGTAAGAGACCAGAAATAACTTCTCTAAATCTCTTTGGAATAGTGTGAGATTAGAAAGAGTGAACCCAATTTGACAGGGTCAGATGTCTGAGAGGTCAATGGTCAACCTCCAGAGAGTCTCTGCCACTGGCACATCAGTGCGGGGGATGGGAGTGAGTTAGAAAGGGCTAAGGTGGGATTGGTTATGCACTCTAGGAGAGGATTAGAAATTAGACACACACACACACACACACACACACACACACACACACGCGCGCGCGCGCGCGCACAGAGGGATACAGACACACACTGAGATAGTTATGCCCACCGTAGATTAAGAAGCAGTTGAGTTGAGGGAGGAGACTGGAGATGAGCAGATGGGGCTTGTACCCCTTGGAAAGGTCGACACTGGCTCTGTGGGATAGAGAGAATGACATGCCTTGACAGGGCAAGCCCTCTCCAGGACTGGGCATCTCTTGAAAGTGGAATGAGCAGTGGCACCACTACTGGTGAGTGGGTCACTCCAAACACATGCGTTGCCCTTGGCTTGAAGGACTTTTGAAAATAATTAGTGTCATTATCTGTTTTGGAAATGTTTATGGGGAAACTAACTTTCATTGTTTGTGTTTCTACAAATTTCTGCCTTATTGCAGTTTTCATTTTCCGAGCTCAGGTGAAGCAGTTTTATTGGAGCTTGGTGAATTCTGAATGGTGGCTGCTGATCACATATTTCTTTGACCCAAGCATATTCAGAATTTCCAGCATAAACAATTTGGATAAAATTTAGGCTAGGAAACATTAAAGTCCCCAAACACCTCTAATTCTAATGAACCAGATCCCATTTTGGGTTCCAGTTCTTTTGGCTCCATTTTTGAAACCTCCTCTTCCTGTGCTTCAGCGCTCCATCTATCCCTCCCAGCCTCATTTGGCCACACTTCCCTACCAGGTTCAGTACATCCTACCTCGTTTTGGATGCTCCCACAGAAAGCGAGAGCTGGGTTGAACCTTTCGGGGGATAAATGAGGACCTTGGCAATCGCACAAGGTAAAGTCAACCTTTGGAGCTCATTCACCAAACTCTGAGCTATGGTTCTTTCTCTTTTTCCCCTTCTTAGCTTAGCTTCCTGTTAGGATCCTAGTGCCCCCAATCTGTTGTTTAGTCCTCCCCAATCCTCCCTGAGTTTCTCCTTGGAAGTACACCATGCTCCAAAATGACCTCACAGATTTTCTATCCTTTGTCCTTTCCCCCCACCCCCGCCCCAATCAAACCCTGTTCCTTTTGTGTGGATTAGGTTAATCAGATTGTTTTCCTAATACAGGGCCTGAAAGCAAGGTCCCCTCTCACTTATACTTTCTAAGATCATGTTTGTTTTTTAACTCAAAAGAATCCCTAATTAGTGGATTTCAAGTAGTATCAGAGAGACATTTTTGGTCGGTGATTACCTTTCATTAAATGGCTCTAGTCAGACTATCCTATGTATAGGTCTGATCCTGAAAGATGGCAAAAGAAACTGTATTTATGGCCTGATTAATTGCTCATTAGTCCCAAAGAATGGGAAGACAAATTGGTAAGAGTGGGAGCTATTGCAGAACTCCTAGATCTGTGATTTTTTTTTTTTTACCTCCTCCAACAAGAGGAGTTCCATAGCTCAAATGTCCAAGGCATCTCAGAGGACAGCTGTGTCCTCGTTCAGGCTCCCACGGAAGCACGCAGACACTGTGACAGTGGCCCCTCTTGTCAAGGTGACTCTACTTTTTGGATATATAAATAGACTGAACCCGAAGGTTCAAGACAGCAAACTGATAGAGCAGGAACCTTAGGAGGGTCTAACAAAGATAGAGGCAGGGAAAGAGTAACCTTGAAAAGGAGGTGAGGAAGATGTTTATGGTTCTTACCTTTTAGGACACTTTAGCCAGAGATGTGGAATAGCAAATACCTTGAAAGGAGGATCAGAAAAGGTTCCTGCTTCCTCCTCTTTGCAGTTCATAACACAATCACAATGTATAAATATCCTGAAATACGACAGATTGATTTTGCTATATGTTTAAAAATTGTCTTACCAAACTGAAGTGTGCCTATGTAAGATTAATTCTTTAGGCCAGGGGTGTCAAACTGGCGTCCCGCGGGCCGCATGCGGCCCTCGAGGTAATTTTTTGTGGCCCACGATGCTCTGAAATAAAATGAAAATAGAAAAAATTGTTATGAAGAAAATAGTGCTTAGGGGAGATCAAGGCAATACCGTACACACAATTCCCTCATTAACCCTTTAACTACTGAAGACCAGTATACAAAAAATTACCTTGAGGGCCGCATGCGGCCCGTGGGCCGCCAATTTGACACCCCTGCTTTAGGCTATTGCTTAGGTGACATGGTCATCTACTTAAAACTTGAAAAATAAAAATTGGGAAAAAAAATGTTAGGAGCAAGGAAGCTGGAAATAGAGGCTGGTTTCATTCTTTTTTTTTTTAAGATTTTTATTGGGGAATTAGGGGAATAGGAACAGTGCTGGGTAATTGGGGGAAGGGGAACAGACAAGTTGCTGTTGTTTTTTTGTTCTTCAATCTAGTTGTGGAGGATGTTGCTTCACTGACCCAAGTTGGTACCATCATTGCTTTCTTCCCGGGTGAGGCAGATCAGTCGCCGGCTTCTGGACGGCCGCTCACTGCGGCTGCTGGCCGCTCACGCTGGCTGCTGGCCGCTCACGCTGGCTGCTGGCTACACACAGTAGCCCATGACAACCCACTGCCACAAGGGCTGCAGCCTATGCCGTCGCCGGCGACTCATGGCAGCCCAGCTCCAGGTTGAGCTGTTGTTCAGCATCTTAGCTGTGGAGGGCAGTGTCACTGGCCCTCATATGTGGGATCTGAACCGGGGCCCTCTGGCATCCCAAGCGAGTTCTTAACCATCGCGCCACTCGGCCGGCCCTGGTTTCATTCTTTAATTTTTAATTCTGTCCAATCTTTTTATCATTCTGGTTTCTCTGGCCCCCATTTATATATTAATAAGTGATCTAGCACTTTTAATCACTCCTCTTTAGTTACAAAAGCAGTCCAGATCCTTTTGCCTGGGATTTAATACCTTCCCAATCTGACTTAAAATGTTTTCCAACCTTACCTTTTTCTGCTTTCTTCTGACCCCCCTATTCAATTAACTGAAATATTTCTGTTCCCATCGTAATTTCTAATTCCTACCCTTATTGTAAGACACCTCTCAAATGCCGTCTCTTTCCTGAAGCCTTCACTATACCATCTACATAGCAAATCATACCTCCTATTATAGCTATATCTCCAACCCACATACAGCCATCTTTTTTAAATGGTATGCCTTCCTTCCTTCAAACTACCTTTGAGTGTGTGCTGTGGCCAAGGCATTATTACTGGTTATTATGAATCAGAACTTACTATGAATCAGACATAAAA